CTTACAGCAAATATAGCATCCAGCTTCATCAAGGACCGTTCATCTGATTCCAAAGGTTGTAGTAGTTTATTCAGTTTAGATTCTACTAAGAAACCCTGTAAAAAGAGAATGGATAGATTAAACAAATGCAAAATAAAATACATATGTTATACAAATGTTGACAACCCAAGATACCAGTTAAAGTAACATTAAAAAAACACACAAAAATGTGGCAATTTGATCTTTCGTCTTTGCTGTACCATACAGTGAAATCCAAATACATTCAAAAGTTTGTTTGTTTTTCTTTTGGGCCAGGTTTGTTTATACTCAACCACTGATTTAGTCACAATATTTTCTACAACTTGTTGGATTTCCAGTATTGTTTCCAATATGACCAAGTGTATTTAAACTGTAACAACACAGATATAACTAACTTTTAGATAACCTATAAGATATAATTATGTACAATTTTTACAAATCAAAGCTGGACCTTCAACCAAAATCAAGGTAACTCAATTGTTATCATTGTTTCTTGTTACATTACTGATGATATACTAACCAACTGATAATATAGCTGGGGAATAAACATTATTGCTATAGCAAGGCGGGTCATACAATATGATTATCCCAGGAAAAATGTTAAAATATGCAGTTTTAATTTTGTTTGAATAACAACTACACTGTAGATATATGTTCAATGATTAACATTAGTGAATAATACTTTAATTTGTATTTTTGCATTAAAGGTTGTTTCTGATCGAAAAAAACATGTTTTTAGGCCTAAGTAGATTTCACTCACAGATTCGTCACACAGCAATTCTAATACTTGTTTGATAGTTTTCATAGATAACTTCTTTGCTTCATCATCTTCAATCTCAGCATCCCCTTCTCCCAACTCTGACTCATCTGCTTCACCTTGGATGCTGCTTTTTGTGGATGACATCACTTCCTGTAGTACTTGATGAGCAGAGACTGACTTTTTAGCACTGGCCTCAGATGTAATTGGACCAACATTTTCTAAAAACGAGCTACATGAGAAAAGAAGAGTCATATTACACTATCAAACACTGAAACATTAGATATTATTCAGCATACATGTAGATCCATGCAACAATTGAACCAGTACATTTGAATACACAATACAGTTCATACTAATAAATGGCAACCCCCCCCCTCTCGTAACAAAACAGTTCTATGACTTCTAAATGACGTAGATGTAAGCAATGCTATTCAAATGGACACCTCTGTTTTACTGACATATAACATTAGATGGCGCTATTCAAAATGAATCTCATGAACAAACTGAATCCAATAAAAGATTAGCAACATTTTGTCACTGCCTAAAATACAGACAACAATATTTCACATTCTTGACTATTCTTGACATGTTTTCTTCAGTGGTTTATGTTAGTAATATACCATACTCATCTTTGCTCAACTAAGCGCCCAACCTCCACTTTATGAACATTATTTGACTTTTCTGATTATCGGTTATCAAATACATGTATATATAATACAGCATGGATATTGACTGCTGCGAATAGGGTCAATATTTTAACAGTTATGAAAAAAATCTGAT